TTTCTCTGGTTTCAAGCACGGACCCCAAACAGCCTCCAGCCTGCATCTAAAGTTCTGCCCTCTCCTGGGCTCGCTGTTTTTCCAACTGCCCATCAATTTCTAGATCTCAGTTAATTATCTCAAATTGGAACTTGTTTCTCTACAAGGACTATCTCCTCCAATCTTTACATCCCTTTCCACCCCAGGAAACTGGACTGAAGCAGCAGGAAAAACTAATCTCCAAAAAATCTGTAGGGCCAAGGTCCTTTAGTCTCCCAGGAAATCCTCTTGGCACTTTCTTTGTACGGGAGAAAGATGGGGCTTTCAACCCCAGTAAGAGGGACAGTCTCGGAAACCCACAGGGGCAGTTCCACCCTGTCTTGCAGGGTCGCCAGGAGTCAGCATCCACTCCATGGCAGTGAGTGTGTTTGTTTGCCATTTTGTGATTTCTGCACTTAAAAGGGAGGCGGCCTTTCCCCTCTCTGCCTTTTGTAAGCAGCTTCCCTTGTGTCTCAGGGAGTGCTGAGCCCCACACAGCACTGAGCTCCTCGGAGCACCTCTGCCCCTCAGCACCTAACCAAGCTCTCGTTAGCATTCTGCTGCAGTGTGATTTCTCTCACAGGTCTTTGACATTTTCTGGGATGGGGTGAGTTGGGCACACAATGGCACCATCTTCGGACTGACATTTTCCAGAATGTTTGCGCACTCATTATCTCGAGTCTAAACCCATGAGGTAGGCAGAACAAGTATTATTCATGAATTGGAGATGGGAAACCAAAGCACCGAAACTGATGGGCAGTTGGAAAAACAGCGAGCCCAGGAGAGGGCAGAACTTTAGATGCAGGCTGGAGGCTGTTTGGGGTCCGTGCTTGAAACCAGAGAAATGAGAGGGTGGAGAACAAACAGGGAGAACTCTGCCCTGAGGCAAGAATGGGAGCAGGAAGGAAGGAATTGTCCAGAAAATGCAAGCAGCTTGAGAAGGTGGTTAACGTGAAGTGCGAGGGAGGAGGAGGTGACGAGGAGGCAAACTGGCCTGTGCTGTGGGGCTCAGGAGTGAAGCGGTGCGCTGGGGCGGAGCTGTTGGAGCTTGCTTGAGGGGGTGTCATGTGACCTCAGAACACTTTGAACCGTCTGTGAGGACTAAAGCCTCAAGGTCACATTGCAATGAGCTGTGGACAGGATTCACCCCAAACCAGTTCTTGCGTCTCGTTAGCCGACAGGTTGTCGCCGTGTCCTTTCCTTTCTTATTCTAACCTAGCTCCCGCTGCTGTGCTTTGTACCTTTCATCGTCCCAGCCAACTCATATATTTTTCTTGGCTCCGCTGATCGTGTTTCCAGAGCTGTGAATAAACCACCTCGTCCCCAGCGGCCAGAGTCATCTGGAGAAGAGAGAGAAAATTCTCATCTGCTGGGAGTGAAGCCCAGACCATCCTCAAACAAACAAACAAAAGATCCAGAACACGAAAGCAAAAGCATTTCAAATAGGCTTGTGCTAAGAATGACTTTTCACAGGGAAGAGAAAATACCTGATCTAATAATTTCATGGCTTAGACTTTCCAACCTATGCTTAGGTTTTCGGGAAAAAGCACCTGGTCATCCTAACAGAACGCAACCTTCAAAACAAGTGTATCTGTGGCGCGTCTGCAACCCTGGGAGATGGCAACAGGAGGATGGAGAGCGGATGTACACAGCACAAAGCGAGTAGGGCAAGCACTGGAAAGGCAACGGGACCCAACTCCATTTCATCGGAAAAGGGGAGGCTCCGTGCCTCATTCAGGCAGGTCGTGACGTGGCTGGTGCAGACCTGTCGTTTCTGTTATCCGCTCTTTCCCCCACACTGGGAGCGCTGGTCCTCAAGCGCTATGTGGAGGGCACTGCTCTAGGAGCCAAAGACACAGCAGAGAACAAACAGACCCCTGCTCTCATGAAGCTTCTTTTCCAGTGCAGAGAGAGCGGGGGAAGAATGCAACGTCAGTGATGGTGCACATAATTCGCAGAGGCGACAGCAAGGGTGGGGGAGGGTCCCAGAAGGAGGGTGGCATCTGTTCTGCATGAGGCTGTAGGAAGCCCTCTCTGAGAAGCAGACAGTTGAAAAGACAACTGACTGACCTGACATTGCTGTCTGGGGAAAGAGGGTTCCAGGCAGAAGTAGCAAAGAGTGCAAAGGTCCCAAGGTGGAAACAAGCTGGATGTTCTGCTTGTTTTCAGAGGAGTTGCCTCATTTCATACACCTAAAAGCCATGTGGGGAGAGTAAGGCAGCTCTCATCCCATTTACAATAAAGATGTTGAGGCCCAAGGAGGTTAATCACGAGAGTCAAGAAACAAATCTCTCTCTCGATTGTGAAATCCAAGCTCTCTGTCCCCACTCTACCGCTGGGACCATCACCTGGGTCAGGATTCTGCCTTATCCCCACCAGTCCTGGCACCATAAAATCTGAGGCACCCACTGTGCCCCGTAGCCCTCACATACCTATGCAGTGAACGATGAGTGCGTCCTCGTCCCCAGCTTGAGGGTGGGTGACATCCCCACTAACGTACTTGATGGAGATGAGGTCTGGGTCTTGGTAATCCAGCTCAGCAGAGCTCTCGTCCTCCCCCTCCTCGGGGCTCTCAGGCTCGCTCTCCTCCAGAGGCAGGCAGGGTGACTGGTAATTGCTGGACTCCCACCAGGCCATCCTTCAGCAGGCCAGACAGAAAAGGGAATAAACTGGGCTGATCACCATTTCCCCTCGGAGCACGCTTTGTGCTGCTGTTCACAAACACCAAATGCCACGTGGAAATGCAATTAGAAGCTCGCCCTGGTGGCAGACTCCGGCGTATCAGTAAACAAACGAGAAGCCTTACCAATGCGCCCGACTGCCTCATGGCTACACTTCAACAGAGCCGAGAACCCACTCCAGGGCCCTGTTTTTAAGAACACAACTACAAGGGGTTGTTTGGGTAAAAGGTAAAAGGTAAAAGATCTTTGGTCAGGCAGCAACAGTGTGAAGTCCTAAAAATTTCCTATTGCAATAGAATGAATCTTCTCTGCCTTACACACTCAGGATTTTCCACACTTGACTAAAACATTAAGGTTAAAGATTAATCTTTTTTTTTTTCTTTTCTTTTTCTGAAGTATCCCATTGCCAACAGGGGAGCCCTGGTGGAACAGTGGGTACGAGCTGGTTTGCTAACTGAAAGGTCAGCGGTTCAAAGCCATCAGCCCACTCCAAGGGAACAAGATGGGGTTTTCTATTCCTGTAAAGAGTTTCAGTGTCAGAAGCTCACAGGGGCAGGTCTCCCGGTCCAAAGGGTCACTATGAGCTGAAAAGTGACTCAATGGCAGGGAGTTTGGGTTGGGTTTATTGTCAAGGAAACTACAGGCATTACAGCCCGTTTCTGTCATTGTAAAGGACTGAGGAACCGTAGACTCATATGATAGTGAGTCTTATGCCAGCTGTGCCCCGCAGCTTGACCAAGAAACGAGACAGACATACTTTTTCTTATGATCGGCTTCTTCCTTCTGCCTCTGTTTCTCCTCTAGCAGTCTCTTCCTCTTGGCTGCTGCCTCTCGTCTCTTCTCCCTTCTGTGCTCAAGCTCTTCTGGGGTGTGGACATGCTTCCTCTTGGTGGAGCCTGTCACCAGGCCCGGGACAACGGCCTGTAGGAAGAGCAAGAGGCATCACTGAAACGGTCAGGGTCCACCGGTCCCTCCAGGGCTTCGGTTCATCCCTAGAGCCCACACTGTACACCACCCTAAGCAGCACCCTTAACATCTTATAAAGCAGTGCTTCTCAACCTTCCTAATGCCATGACCCTTTAATATAGTTCATGTGGTGGTGACCCCGTAGGTGGGCGTATCTGCATGTGGGTGGACCGGCCTGAAGATGGATAGAGAAGCAGTGTCTCGGTTCCTAAGACCATTGGAAATACGTTCTTAGGCGACCCCTGTGAAAGGGTTGTTTGACCCCCAACGGGGTCACGACCCACAGGTCGAGAACCACTGTTATAAAGCCTTGTGTCTCCATGGCGCCCTGTGTGGGGGAAGTGGTGGCAAATACACCTTGCTGTGCTGTCCAGATCACACATCGCATAGGCCTGCTGACCTAAACCAGAGCACTTGCTGAGCACGGGACAGCAGTGTGTCATTTTGATTCATTTCACCAGGAATTGGGAACTACAGAAAGTTAAAAGCTTTTTTTCTTGATGGAAAGCACACCTTCGAGGATGCCATTTTAAGTTGGACCATTTTCCATGGAAATCTTCCTACAATGCACTTCCATCTTAAAAGAGTATTTCATCAACATCATTATCATCTTAATACAGCTAGCAGTTAGGGAGTACACCCTGTTGGGCTATGCAAGTCACCTGTATCCTTTACAGCTGTCATCAAACAAACCTACATCCCTGCTTTATCAGGTTGATCTTAACTTTTCATGGCCCTATAGGAGAGAGGAGACTGCCCCACCCCTAAGTCTACCAAGGCTACATATCTCAAAGAGCAGACTGCCACATCTTTCTCCCCAAAGAAGCCGGTAGGTTTGCATGGACCTGTTGGCCATGGAATGCTTTCACCACTGCGCCACCAGGCCCCCACGGGGTCGAGAATAACAGCAGCAGAGTACAGTGTTTTTGTGTAATTGGCGATTCCTTCAGAAGTGGCTTGGATAGAAAAGGCTGCTTTCACTAGCATTGAGTAGTAAAATACACTCACCTTGCAATGTTTTTTATGCCAACTTTCCATACAGTTTTTCAACTTAAAAAAAAAAAAAGGTCACCAAATTGGTGGCATGCAGTCAATTCCAACTCATAGCAACACTATAGGGCAGAGTGGGACTGCTCCCAGGGCTATACATCTTTATGGGAGCAGACAGCCTCATTTTTTTCCCCCAGAGAGCAGCTGATGAGTTTGAACCTCTGACCTTATGGGTAACATACTGGGCCACCGGGTTTCCTGAGGGTAGGGTACAGTTACTTACACTAACCCACTCATAGGCTTATTTCTTATAACATATCACTCCTGACCTCTTCTTGTTTTTCAGGAAAACAGTGCATTTGGAAGGATTTCTTTCTTTATAGAAATAGTTCTTACATTGCCTTTATTTCGAAGTGACCGGCCCTCCTGACTAGCTTTCTCCAAAAGGGTTTTCTGAAGATTCACCAGTTGCTCAAATGATCTTCTGTCTTCCTTACTAGGTTCTTTTGAGTAATCTTTACCTTCAAATATGTACATATGGTTTTCTAAGAACACAGAGCACAAAGAGAGAAATGTTAGATGCTAAAGAAAGGCGAATTAAGTCTATTCAAAGCATTAACTAAGTTGAACAAGAGCTTACATTCTAACGGGGCTAATAGCTGGTGATGCAGGCACTTAATTTCCAATCCCACGGACAGTCGCTGTTTTGGGTGCCAAGATTCCAGACAGTACATATCAAAGGAGGGAGCAGGGCTTAGCCCTTAGGGCCATCTCATGGCCTGTGAGTCTCAGCTGAGCCCCTCTCTCCTGCTGCTTCCTCCCCCACCCCGGCTCAGCATAAATGCTGCTGACATTGAGGACACTAATAAAAGCCAACCTATTAAAGAGAATACACCTTTTTAAAATTCCTAGAACAACCTTAATATTCAACTGTTTATATTTTTTCTGTGATACTAAGGGGAGCAAGTAGGAAATCTGAGAGAAAACTTTTAAGAGATTTTCAATCCTCTTATTAGAGGTCACCAAGCATTTTTCAAGATCTTAATGCCAATCCTGGTATAACAACCTCTGTTTAAGAAAGGAGAAACTGAGGCTCTGATAGGGGTCGAGGGACACTATTCATAAAAGGAGTGCATTTTGAAATCTAAAGCGCGCGTGTTCTTCCCAGTACATCAACGTGTCTATGAGTGGACGAGAGGACGGCAAGCAGTAATTGTGACAGCAACAACAACGGCAATAATCTAATCTTGACTCGTTCCACATGCGAGCACGTTCGCCTCTATTGTCAAAACCTGATCTTTGCAACTGTGAAAAGAGGAAAGCAGACATGAGTATCATCATTTTACAGGTGAAGAAAGAAAATTAGAGAGTCAGGAAGGGCCAAGACTAGGAACCACAGGTAGGTAAAATAATTATTTTGAACCAAAGCACATTGAATAGCACATTTTACCCCAAGAATGTATTTCATAACATTACTGAAATCAGCTACAAGTATGTTTTCCCACGAGAGTACAAGAGCAAAACATTTTCATTCTCAAGTGATCAATTGCTTCACACTTGTATCCAAATCCAACCAGCTAGAATTCTAATTGGCATTTGCTAATTAAATCAGCAGGGGGCTTTCAATGAAGCTCTCTATCAACAAGTAGGAAAAAATAAAGAGATGAGAAGTATCAACTATGATCAACATATACAGCTTCATAACATATACAAATGCTCAACTTACAAGTGTGTTTTTTTAAAAACTCTGGCCCTCAAGACAAAGTAACTGTTTGTTTAATTGTGATTAGGGCTGCTTTAATCACCAGTCACTTGTATACACTTACATAACACCACACGCCCTCTCTTCACAGTGCAGCCAGGAGACCTGACAGACCATTGGGCGAGACCCCCCATCTGTGTCAGTGGAAGCTTGCACGGAACAGTGACTACACCCATTCATCAAAGGCAACACCCTGACCTTTCACACAATGGGGAAATACTGCCAGGCAATTGAGTTGATATGAACACATAGGCATTAAAGCTTCATATATGTGTGTGTATGTGTATCATATACACATAAGAGGGCTTCAAAGAGTTCATGGAAAAATTTAATTATCTTTTAATTCCATTTTCCACATGCTTTTTGAAGCCCCCTTATGTATAATATATGCAGGGGGTGCAGAGAGAAATGTAATTTTCTTTCTGGAAAGCACTGAAAGTTTATTATATTCTAGTAAACATTAATAAGCTAAAAATAATCTAGATGGATGTACGAATGGCTGAAAACCACTATTGAACACAATCAAAATACAATAGAAAATATGACCACATGAACCATATGAATCTATTTCTTTTACCTCCTAAAACCACTAAATGGTTGTAAAAGGGTTGGGAGAAAACAACAAAGATACATGAGGCAATAGTGAATGAGAAAATGCACTAGCTCTTGGGAAAATGGAAAGTGGATAACAAATTCAGAAGAGCAGAGCAAGAAAAACACAGGTCAAGGGGGCAGTTACGGAAATGGAAATCCACACAGTGCCCCCCGCCCACTGCCCCGCCCCCTCAAGCTTAAACTTACAAACACAAGGCACCAGGGTGGGGAACAGAGAGGAAATCTGCATACCAAATCACATCCACACCAGGAATATTTAACTCAGTCTGTCTCTACAATTTGAGCAACCAGTTTACCCTGATTCTCACACCCCTTCCTTCAAGAAATTGGAGGAGTGATCCCTGGAGACAGGGTTGCCCTTTGAAAATATGTCAAATCCTGACACTTGGGAAGGGTCCCTTCCTGTGAAAGCTGGCTCACCAACAAGTAGTACTTGTATAAGGCCCAAAAGCCAATACACCTGCTCATTCCACACTGCCCACCAACTTTGCAGCACCTCACCTGTACATGGGACCAGACGGCCAGAGGACACGAGAAAGCCGGGGAAAATGATCAATCAATAAGAGATTCCCAAACAAACTTTAAGGAAACAGCAGCAGAAATTGGGAGAAAATAGAGAAAAACACTAGAGCAGGGGTCCTCAAACTACAGCCCGTGCGCGGGTCACATGCGGCCCGCCGAGGACATTTATCCGGCCCGTCGGGTGTTTTTGCCGTTCGTTTTTTCACTGCAAAATAAGATACGTGCAGTGTGCATAGGAATTTGTTCATAGCTTTTTATTTAAACTATAGTCCGGCCCTCCAATGGTCTGAGAGGTAGTGAACTGGCCCCCTGTTCAAACCATTTGAGGACCTCTGCACTAGAGGAATACTTTTACTACATTACTAACTTTAAAGTAATAAAACAAATACTCTCCCAGGAATACTTTCTTAAAGCTGTAATAAATATCCTTAGAGAAGATATTACGTACCTGAAATGAGAACAGGATACAGTTCACACAAGAAACAAAGAAAGAGCTTGTGGAGTTCTAAATGGAATACTAGAGCTGTCGATGGGAACTACAGGCATTACAGAGTTTCTGTCACTTTAAAGGATAACACATAAAAGACAAAATTGAAGTAAAAGGACAGTGTGCTATATAATGCCTGCAGCCTACAAATTCCAAACTTTCAGCTACACAAGGAAAACAAAACACCCTAGCCCAAGCCTACCACAACATTCAGACTCAAAGGCAAACACAAACTGCACACTGCAAGCCAGGGAGAGGAAAGAAGCTTTGGTTGTGCTAGTGCGGTGGCTTAGTGTTTGGCTGCCAACAGGACAGTTCAAACCTACCAGTCTCTTCATGGGAGAAAATTGAGGCTGGCTGTTTTCATAAAGATTTACAGCCTTAGAAGCCTACAGGGGTAGTTCTACTCTGACCCACAGGGTCACTATGAGTTGGAATTGACTTGGTGATAGTGGACTTGGTTTTTAGAAAAGGTAGCCCGAGAACCAGCCGGCCCAAACCCGTTTAACAATACAACTTAAGGAATATTATACTCATGAATCCATTTTGAAGAATTTTCTTTAAGAACAGAAGATGCTAATGTCTCCCATACAGGAAAACAAACAAAGAGACCAGGAATCCGAATTTTACTAGACTTCTCAATACAACATCAAACTCTAAACTACAGTGGAGCTAGATCTTCAAAATTCTGAGTTAAAATGACCTTAAATCCAGAATTCCTTACCTGAGCAGATTATCAGACAAGTGTAAGGGCTGAGTAAAGGCATTTTCAGACAATCAAACACACTGACAATTTCTCTTATGCTGGGTGGGGGCGGGGGAGGTGTTTAAGGAAGTTCGTGGAGCACGTACCAAAAGGCAGCATCATGATCAACGAAGAAATGTGGAAGTTGTCAAGGGTTTCGTCTTGCTTGGATCCACAATCAATGCTCACGGAAGCATCAATCAAGAGATCAAAAGATGTGTTGCATTAGGTAAATATGCTGCACAAGACCCCTTTAGTGCATTGAAAAGCAAGGATGTTACTTTATGGACTAAGACGTGACTCATCCAAGCTACGGTGTTTCCGATCGCCTCACGGCATGTGAAAGCTGGACATCAACTAAGGAAGACTGAAGAAGGCGCAGCTGGATGGAGGTGCTGGAGGAGAAGATGGGCAGTGCCGGGGACCGCCACAGAGCAAGCAAGTCTGTCTCGGGAGAAGGACGGCCACAAGGCACCCTAGAGGCAAGGACGGCAAGACTCCCTCTTACATGCTTCGGACATGTTGTCAGCAGAGACCAGTCCCTGGGACAGGACATCGTGCTTGGTAGGGTGGAGGGGCAGCAGAAAAGAGGAAGGCCCTGGAAGAGATGGGCTGACACAGTGGCTGCACCAAGGGCTCAGGCACGAGCACAGCTGAGGACAGGGCAGGGCCAGCTGGCGTTTCCTTCTGTTGCGCACGGGTCGCTGAGTCAGAACTGACTCGACAATGATGACCACAGGGCATGTGCCCCAGGAAAGCGGAGCAAGACAACCAAATACCCCGACATCCCTGAAAGCAGAGCCCAGAAGAGAGGAGAAACTCAAGTCCCCAAACAATACCTGTGGCGTAGGCAAATCAGTTCAGAAGGAAAGCCAAGGGTTCTGGGGGTGGTGGTGGTGGGGGGATTTCCAGAAAAATGCAATTGATAAACTCGACTATAATAAAAAATCTTATTATTAGGCACGTGACAGCGACTAGAGCCCTTGGCAATGACCGAGTTCATGAAAGTCATGGCTGCACTGACTACGATGTGCACGGTCACACGACGCACACACTGGCATGCACCTAGCAAAGAGTGCGACAGTTACACAACTGCACGTGCCGGATAACGTGGGAGAGCTAGTACCCATCTGCCACGGGAGGAAATCACTGATAGCCTGAAGTGGTCAATCGAAAACGTTAACGGTCCAAATAAACAGGCAAATAAGAGAGGAAAGGAGCAGAAGACCCGAGGGCAGGCTGAGGGCAGTACCACCGGGCAGCAGGACTGGGGAGGGGGTGGATATGGGCTTTGGACAGAGGAATGCCATGTTTCACTACAGTTATTTTAGTACTGTTTGTCATTGGATACTATGTGTATGTATTACTTTACTGAAAAGTTAAAATGAATGAAACGAGAACCTCATGTGAAGGAAGAGCAACAGAAAAACGATGTGCGAAGCACACGATGCGGTGCCTGGCACACAGCAAGTGCACACTCGGAATCACTGTTGCTCAGAAAGGCAGCGACTGTGCAGAGCCCCAACCGGTGGAGGGGAGCGTTTACTGATGCGGTGGAGGTGCTTGCAGCCCAGGAAAGCGTGCACGTTAGAATCCGACACTGTTACACTGACACTTGCGTGAGGACTTTAGTGAGCCCACTGTCTCCAAGTTCAGCAGCAGGAGAACGGCCAGACTAGTTTCCAGTGGGTCTGGGGAGCGTTCTCAAACCGGGCAAGTCTTTAGCAGTGTGCACAGGAGGAGAACAGGCCTGGGTCGATAAAGGTGTCCCACGGAGCAGAAGCGGGGACTTGCCCCAGGGACTCATCCCACCCATGTTCTCGCCGTGTGCTCGGCTCTCATCCCCAACTCACTCCCTTCCTCTTGCTCTCTGCTTCCTCCTTCTGCCGCAGGCGCCACGTCGCAGACCCACTCTCCGTTTTTTGTTTCCCCCAGGATGGACTCCAGGTCGAGCTCGTCCAGGGTGCTCCCCTCGGAGGACAGCAGCTTATCCAGACCGAATTTGAGAATCTCACTCAGCTTGGACAAAACAAAGAAGTCCGGTTAGAAAACAACAGTGGCAGGGCAGGGAATGGCTAAGTGGCTCCAGGACCCCAGGCACAGTCCTGCCCTGGGAGACAGCCCTCTTGCTCCCGACGACGGGCAGTTTAACAGCTGGATGACAGGTAGGCAGAGAGGTGCCAAAGGATCCGCAGAACTGTTGAGTTTGGCAATGCCTCATGACCAAAAGAAATGCACAAACCTTTTTTTTTTTTCTTGGACAGACCACTCATTTCCTGAATGTTCTTCTTCTTGTAATCATACCTTATTGTGCTTTTGGTGAAGGTTTGCCCAGAAGTTTAGGCTCCCATTCACTATCTCTACATACCTACTTCAGGGACGTGGGCCTCATTCTTCCCACTGCGTGGACAGCCTCATGATTTCCGTCCTAGTTGTGGGGTTTCCATGAATGGCATTCCATTCTCCACCCCGTGACCTCCTCACCCTTGATCCTGTTTTTTCTACCGCGCCCCTCACTGGCTCTAGCTCACCGGCACTCCCAGCAGCCACACGAGAAGTTGGGAGCCCACCCTGTGAGCTACTCTCTCACCAACCTTCTTGGAAAGAGAATGCTACACTAGGTGTGTGTGTTTTTTCTCTATCACCCACCACTTCTTTGCTACCACAGTACTGTTGCTATCTTTTACAGTCCTCTATGGGAACATCTCCACAGAGACCAGTAGCTCCTGAGGCCGAGACCTACAAAGCCTTTCTCAGTTCTAGTCCTCCCAGGCATCCTTCCACCACCAGTTTCTTCTCTGATTTCTCTCTAGTGGGCTCTCAGCGCACAGGTCATTCTTCCTGGCCATACGCTTCCTACTTCCAATTTGCACCATCCTGAGTATTAACTCTGAGACCCGGAACTACACTGGTTCACAGCGAGGTCTCATCTTGCCCTTGCTTAGCCTCAGTCAATTATCTCCAGATTGTTTACCTCGTAAATAACATGCAAACCAACTTCATTCTGTGCTAGCTTGCCAACAACTTGATCCACTTAAGCATGAACACACATGTTCACGTGTGACCTTGGCAAACATAACCAAAGGGACCCACGGGGCAGCTGGCATCAGCAACCAAGAAAAGGCAACTGTTTAAGAGGAGTCCACCCTGTGCCCTCCCTTCAGCCCACCTCGTGCTTCAGTTTGCTGCCTAGCTTTGCTTGGTTACTCCTCACGTGTGATTAATCAGGACTGAAGGGCTGTTTCCAGGACAAGTCATATGTTATAGTAATTAAGCATATACCTTAGAGGTGAGAATCCCCAAATCTGCATGACCTTTGGCAGGTCAGTTACAATGAGGATACAAACAGCATCTACTTCATTCTGTTGTTACTCATATGGACTGAAATGTTTGGGGGACAAGGGGGAGGATACCTTCGGCAATACTTTGCATACAAGAAATATTTATTAATGCTGGACACATCTAGATCTGCTTTTTATTGCACTCTCCCTACAGGATAAATCTGCTTCCCTATTTTAGGGCCAAAGCCCACAGATCTACCCAAACAGAAGCACATCTTTTACTATTGGACTTTTTTTTTTTTTAAAGCACACTCCTGCTTCCTTCTGCAGCAACACAAAGGAAGGGCAATCTCATGCCATCTAGATGGGGCAGAGATAAATCAGACACCAGTCAGAAGACAATCATCTGTGAACCAGGGGCTAAGAAAGCTGACAGATCCTTTCAAGTGGTCTACTTCCCACGACTACTTGGCCCGGTGTCTCGAAGCTATGCCTGTGGGATTCACTTTGATGTGCAGGGGCACTCCGGAAGGACCTCCAGCTTCTCCTTCTCTGGGAGAGAGCAATGACAATCCTTTCTCCTCCAACACCCGGAACCCACCCGTGCCAAAGCTCCACCAGTGCCTTCGCCACAGGCAGTGGGGCCTCGTCCCTCTCAGCATCCTAGGGGAGCGACTGTCTTTAAGAGACGCTACGGCCAGCTGGTCTTAGCTCGCTTTCAAGCGTTCATCCTACAGGGACCCGTGTACAGCACAGGGACAGCCTGCCCTGCCACTGGTGTGGGCGGAGTTGGGAACAGAAGTAAGAACAGAAAAGCATAACATTTCTGCGCTGAGAAAAACAGAAAGCGCAGGAACCAAACCACTGAGGAAGCTCACTTATTTTTTCAGATTGTAGTCCCAACACAGGAGCAAGCTGGGCCTTTCCTGGAAGTAACTCTCTCCCTGACAGAAGCTGTCTTTGGCAATGCTTACATTCCACACACACTGATCTTGGTGAGGAAGATAAGCCTGTGAGAAATTTGCTATGTTTAAGCCTAAAAAGCAAACCAAAAGCAAAACTGCCATCTAATGGATTCCAACTCACAGTGGCCCTAGAGGACAGAGTAGAATGAGCTCCCCGAGGTTTCTAAGGCTGTCATACTTTACAGGGACAGTCAGCCTCAGCCCTTTGCCTCTGGACCTGCTGGTAACTTTGAACTGCTGACCTTCCAGTGAGTAGCCCAACCCATACCCTGCTGCACCAGCAGGGTGGCACATTCCTCTGGTCAACAGCTGGTGGTTTCAAACCGCTGACTTTGTGGTCAGCAAACCAACAAGTAACCACGACACTACCAGGACACCTGTGGCTTTACATTTTTAACCCTATAACACTTGTTATCTCTACCTGTTTAACACTGTATGATTTTTACCCCCAAGGGCCCATTTTGAGTAGTTATTTTATCAAATTTAGTTCTGCAAATGAAACCAAGTGTTACGTTAACATTAGTTGTATTCAGACTGAAAACTCTGTTGACTAAAAGCTACATTCTTCTCATCTTCCTAAAATTCTGCCTTTTCCCATTTTCCTGAGTTCTATTTATAGGGCTAATTTTGTACTTTGTGCTTCTTCCACGATACAGTACACACAGCTCCATACAGGCGAGGGACCCTATCTTTTCCATATGTATGCCTATAATGTCTGACACTTGGTGACAGACGGTCTGAATTATCCAAAGATGGAGACTGAAATACCTTCACAAGGAGCGGATAAGGTCACTGTGACCTGAGGTGTTCAAATGAAGGCCAGAAGGTGGAGCCACTGGATGAAGCCTTGTGATGTTCTAACACCCGACACCTCCATTTCTGTTCAGAATGTCTACGGCAGGGGTCCTCAAACTTTTTAAACAGGGGGCCAGCTCACTGTCCCTCAGACCCATTGGAGGGCCGGACTATAGTTTTAAAAAAAAACTATGAGCAAACTCCTATGCACACTGCACATATCTTATTTTGAAGTAAAAACAAAACGGGGCAAAAACTCCCAGTGGGCTGGATAAATGTCCTCGGTGGGCCGCATGTGGCCCGCAGGCCGTAGTTTGAGGACCCCTGGACTCTAAGGCTTTATTCTGTCCACTCTTCTATAATGTCTCACACACTGCCTTGCGCTATAATCATTTGCACACATCTATTTTTTTTTCTTCATTTTTCTCTTAGAAGATCCTTAAAAGGGGGTTGTATCCTATTTTATTTTGGGACTCCCAAGAGTTCCTTCCAAAGTGGTCTGCATCTAATAGTTGTCCAATAACTATCTTGCACAAATAGAGTGAAATGGGTAAGCATGTTTGGTTTACATTTGTGAAAACGGAGCTGGTCCAAGATCACAGGTTAGTGACAGAACTGAGCCCAAACCACCTAGGCAGGCTCTACCTCTCGTGTTGTGTAAGAGTTCTACCCTTTCTCTGAGGCCACGACCTAATAATCTACATTCTCTAACTTGCTAGGCAACTCTGTTCTTGCATTTCCATACATCTTCCATTTTGTTTTTAAATCTAAAAAAAAAAAAATGGAGCTCATGATGTCCAGTAAGGGCTTACAAGATCTGAAAGGCTGTAAGCAGTAGGCCTCCTCAACTCTAAGAACCCTCAACACCTCACCCACCTGACAAGGTAAGTATCATTTGAGTGGTACATGCTGATCTCTGACTCCACCTCCGACTTTTTAGGGCAAACATGCTAACACTTCTCTCTTGACTTTCAGTCGAGTCTAGAATTTGTTAAAGAAACCTTCTTCTGTGTGGTATCTGAAGTATTTCTCATCTCTCGCCAGGATGCTTGGAGGAGTCTAGAATTCCAGTGTTAGAAAGAACATCACAGGTCCTTTACACAACTGTGTATCTGATGGCTCAAAAACACCTCAAGTAACAGTGAACTTAACACCTCACAGTGAATTTTATTTCGGATCCCATTCTGATAGTTCAGACTGTTTTTCAACAAGTATGAGACATTATAGACATATAAATGGAAAACAGATAAGGTCTCTCACCTGTATGGAGCTTACAGGTACCATGGAAGAAGTACAAATAAACAAAAAGTCCACAAACACACAATTACAGATGCACTGAGTGCTATAAAAAGGATGCAAGGCAGAAAAGGGGGTGCGAGGGGTGGCATGGAGAGTACCTTTGAAGAGGGGATGTTAGGGACCTAAAAGATGGTAACACGGGAGTTAGCTACATGAAGACTAGGAGAAAGAACCGGCTAGGCAGAAGGGACAATGTCTGCAGAGACCCTGAAGCAGAAAAGGAGCGGCTCCTCGCTGGCAGCTGTGGAGTCAGATTTGACTTGCAGAGCCCCCCCGTGTGTGAGGCAGCACTGCTCCACAGGAGTTTCAAGGCAGTGCCTTTCAAAACATATAGTCGAGGTTTGTCTTCCAGGGTGCCTCTGGGTGGGTTCTAACTGCCACCCTATCAGCTATCATCAAACGCTTAACCTACCTGCTCCACCCAGAGACTCCATACTTGGCCCCTCGGAGGATCTGAAAGAAGGCCCAGACAAGGTAGAAAACGCTATGTGATGAACCTGCAGATGGAGAGTGGGGCCAAGCCGCTCATGACTGTTAGGTGGGGTGGAATGAAATGTATTAATATGGTTCTTCTACTCAAGTTACTGTAACTCCCATCAAATGATTGGGAGGAAATGTGCAAACTGGGTGTGTATAGCACTGACGGAAGTCTGGTCAGTTCCCATTACCATCCCCCTGGATACAAGGATGGGCCATCTTTGACATAGCAGAGAACGGAGAAACCCCGAGGACCCTGGAAGAACAGGACTAAGATCTCTGTCTGAAGTGGCAGAGGCCCCTGAGACCGATGCCCCAGAGACCATGGCACAGAGACTCAGAGGGGCAGCGCCAGGAATAGGGGGTACCTTCTCTTTATCTGGCCGGAGACTATGGAACTATAGGACAGAGTGACAAGCAAGGAGGCTTCCTGGCCCATGGAGACAAAGACCAGGGGACCATGTGGCTGAGAGGCTGAGAAGAGAACTAGAGGGAGACTTAGCTGTGGGCTGAGGAGACCAATGACTGCACCCTTACTGTTTCGGATCCTGCATTGTGGAAACCTATTAACTTCCCGAATAAACCCTTAATGGTGAGTACCATCTGTGAGTTGTGTGTGGACGGCAGTAATTATTAAACCCAGCACAGATGCAGAGTGGTGTGGGAGGGACGTCTGGTGTCAAGATAGGTAAAGAAGGACAGACCACAATGGCTTGTCCCTGCCTTTTAGCCCCAGGGAGGGCAGAGGAGGTCAGATTTGGCCCTTGGGCATTCATTGCAGTAGGCTATAGAAGGCATGGGAATTTGCCTCTGAAGTGCAAGAAAGCCCCTGAACAGTCCCAAGGAGAGGTGTGAACAAGCTGATTGCTTTTGCTTTTGAAGACTGGTCTAGTCACTGTGTGGAAGACAGGCTGGAAAAGGGGAAGAGTGACACATTGGAGAGACTACCTCCGATACTACTGCATAGGAAATAACATCTGTCAAACAGCGGTTAGGTGCCAACCACTTCCCCGCCATAACATAAGCATTACAGCCATCTAATTCTCAGAACCAGCCTATGAGGTTCTACACAACCCACTGCAGGAATCGTGGGGAGAAATGATCCAGAGCAGGGGTCCTCAAACTTTTAAAACGGGGCCAGTTCACTGTCCCTCAGACCCATTGGAGGGCTGGACTATAGTTTAAAAAAAACTATGAACAAATTCCTATGCACACTGCACATATCTTATTTTGAAGTAAAAAAACAAACGGGGCAAAAACACCTGGCGGGCCGGATAAATGCCCTCAGCGGGCCGCATGTGGCCCGCGGGGCCGTAGTTTGAGGACGCCTGACCTAGAGACATGGTGGCAGGCCAGAGACAAAATGGAAGAGCTAGAAGATACTCAGAGACTTCAAGACCTCCATGGGAGATGGAATTAAAAGCTAATCGGAAGATTTCCACAAACGTCTCTTACAACAGGACCTGATTTTAATCCGAGGGCTTCGACTGCACAACTCTAAATCTTCTTCCATAAGAGAATGCTCTTCAAAATCGTCCACGTGAGCTTGTCTCCCACCCAGTGTTCCCTGCTTCAAGCAAATTAACTGACAAGTTCTTCCAACTGTTTCTCATATAGAAATATGAGAGACTAGCTCTCATATTTGAGTTCCTGATGGATAAGATTGCTCAACTTACAGGGTTACTCTCCTCTGAATCTGAAATAAGTAATGCATACACTGATCAAAGGCTTTGGGGCTAAGAAGAGGGGATAGCATTAATCACTCCTAACTCCACCTAGTTCTTCATCTTACCTCGCTCTCCTAACAGCCTTCTGAGGTAACTAGTGGTATCCTCATTCTTAGAAACGGAAACAGGGTTACGTAGTTCTGAGAGGTTAAGATACCTGCTCAAAGCCACGAAGTCATAAAGGCACAAGTGAATCCTAGTGAGCTATTCCACAGTCTGGTGCCTTTCTGTGCCGTATTCACTTGTAAGTCCCAGGCACTACGGCACATTGGAGTCTGGCCAGGGAACAAATGTGCGGTGACCCCTCAGGTCACGGGTGGTTAACACCACCTCTTTCCATGTACTACATTCTCAGCCAGAGAGAGCATGGACTACAAGTCCCACCATGTCCTACCTGGAGGCCAGCATTGGCCAGCGGTCTCTGGGCACCCAGCGTCAAATGGCCTCCTTCTATGATCATGTTGGTGAGCTGCAGTTTGGAGGCTGCTTTCCGGCAGACGATTTCCTCCACAGTGTCTCGGGCAACCAGCCGGATGACTTTAACAGACCTGGGCAGGAGTCAGAGGAGAGCAGTGAGTCTACAGAGCGAGGGGAAAACAAAACCAAAAACAGGTAAAGTCTCTCAGAAGGAAGCAGAACCAAAATGCCCTCCCACCAGGGGACAATGGGAGGGAGACTGCTTTCTCTGGACCAGAGCTTTGTTAGCGAGATCTGGCCTCAAATTCTCTCTGAATATCCCCAGACAACCAGGGAAGGAATAACGAGGTGTGGGTAAGTCAGGCTCCTCATCTGTGGCTGAGGAAAACCTCTGCACACCGCTCAGTCACCCTCAGGTAAGGGGTAATGCCTGCATTGTGCGCTCCATACCTCCTACCCGCATTGTTTCAGGAAGGCTGAGTGAAACAACTGCTAATCCTTCCACAGTTCAATTCTGCAATTTGTAACAAGGCAGGCTGGATTGACAAGAGTCATGTTCCTGAAACGAATATTACTAGGGGGGGAATGTGGTTCCCACCCAACTAAGAGCCCAACAGCAAGGGAGACAAGCAGAAGGGAGAAGAGTTTCTCAACTCCAACCTGGGAATGGCCATGAGCATGACATTCGGCACCCCCTTCCCCAACTCAGAACCACAGACAAGCAAGCCCAGGAAGCAGAGAAGCGCCGATGGGAAAATCTCTCACTTATTCTGGCCAATCCGGTGAGCCCTGGCAGCTGCTTGCAAGTCATTCTGAGGATTAAAATCACTGTCAACAAAAATAACAGTATCTGCTCCAGTTAAATTCATGCCAACTCCACCTGCAAGCAATGCAAAAAGGAAGTGATCAGCAGCACGCAGCACTAGGAACTAGAAAATAAAGAGAAAGGTTAGGCAGGACCTGTAGCAAACTGAAATCAACCAACGCAACCGGCCTCCTCCTTCAGACAGACACCTTCTCAACCCCAACTCTAGAATCCTGCAGTGGTTCAGAGCTCATGCTGACAGCTGACCGGAGAAGTTTGAATTCCAGCGTGAACACAGGATGAGGGCAGCTGGGGTGAGCGAGCAAAAACGGGTACTTCAGTTGTGCTGGGAAGCTCTTTCAGATCTCTCCCATTTAAAAACCTTGACTTGTTTCACATGAATAGTCTGCAGACAAGGGTGCAAGTGCTTTCAGAACATAGCTCTAGATCAGCCTGGTCTGCTTTGGGTGCTGCTGAGAAGAGCTTACAATGCTAGTGTCTAGGTGTCTAGTTAAAACTTAAGTGGTGAGATCTTCAGTACAATTTAATGAGGCGCCATGCCATCAAGAAGAGTCCAGCTTACAGGGAGAGCAGAACAGCAAGGCTGTAAATCTTTACAGAAGCAGACAGCTTCACCTTTCTCAGATGAGTGAGTGGCTGGTGGCTCTGAACACCTGACCTTTCAGTTAGCAGCCCATCCCTTAACCACGGTGGTACCAGCGCTCCTTTTCCTGAAGGGGGGCATGGTATGGGGATAAGTAAAAACACATTGCTGTTAGTGTCCTAGCTCCTGCATGTCTGAGTTTATTGCAAACAAAACCTGTGGATGCCACACACAATTTCTCTCACTTGTCTGGGCCTTATTAGGATGCCTTAAAAAAAAACAAAAAAAAAACTTAAAAGGCTACTTTTTGTGACAAGGGAAAAAATTATTTTCTTGTCAAGATTAAGCTCAAATTTTTAACAAAACACAAGTAGAAATCTTTCCAAATCATTGAAGTTTTGCAACAAGTTGAGGGCAATGCTGCTCCTTCTAAAACAACTTTTTAGATAGATCATGCGTCCTTATTCAGGAAGGTCAGGAGACTTCTGAGCTGAATGCAAGGCAGAGGTCAGCCAGGAGGTTATGGTGATGGTTTGGGGGAAGTCCAAAAAAAGTAGTCTTGATAGATTCTCCTGAAGCACATAGGGTAATCATGGGGCTAATGATGAAGTTTTTGAAAAACTGAAAACTGCACTGGCGAGAAAAAGGCAGAAAAGTTGTGCCAAGAATTTTTGTTTTCCATTATGATAAGGCAGCTGCTCATTCTTTAAGAATAGCAAGGTTTGTCCTACACAACTTTTGCTGGGAAATCTTACTCCCTCCACCCCCCAACCTGACCTTGTCCCCAAGACTTGTTTTTGTTCCCCAACTCAGAGAGGACTTAAAATAAGCACGATGTGAGTCCTCCCAAATGGCCCAAAATGCCACTTCGATGTGGTTTACGTTGACGAGCACAGACTTCTTTCGGGACGGGTGTGATAGAAACCCTATCTCCACAAGTGTGCAGACCAGGAGGGAGGGTCTGTGGAGAAACAACAACTTCACAAGTTAGTCTTTTTGTTTAATAAGGGGTACTGTGGTTTTTGACTACCCATCATATTACACTCCTCAGCAGAGTGGGAAACTGCCCTTCCAATTGGAGAAATCGAGTGAGTCCCTATTGTACTTCTTTCTACATGAACAGAAACAGTGGTGAGACAGAAGTTCTCCAGTAGAACAGCTTTCTGGTCTTTCTTCAGTCCTTCAGGAAAAGGGCTGAGGCAGCTCCTTGGGCTGCAGCAATTAATTAAGACAATTTTATAGGCAAATTACAGCCTGCTACTTAATGTGGAAACAAGCATGGAGCAAACGCCCTCACCAGGGTCTCAAAGTTCATTGCTGTGACAAGGCAACCTGCAAGGGTGTGTGTGTGCCAAGACCCTGCAGGACACACACACTTTTGAGAGGGCCTGTGGTGAGCCCTGGTGGAACAGTGGTTATGTGGTGGGCTGCCAACCACAGTCAGCAGTTCCAAACACCAGTTGCTCTGAAGACGAGGCTTTCTACTCCCACAGAAAGTTCGTCTCGGAAACCCTGTAGAGTCAACGGCAGTGAGAGTCACTGGCTGACTCTAAGTGAGATCTCCAGGCATAAGCATTCTAATTAAAACGCTTACATAGAATTACGTGTTGGGCTGCTAACCACAATGTCAGTTCAAATCCACGGGATCCATGAGCCGCTCTGCAGGAGAAAAATGCGGCTTTCTGTTCCCATAAACAGGTGCTCTCCCACAAGAGCAGTTTTGCCCCATCCTATTCAGAGGAGTCAGCTTGAGAGCAGCGAGTTGCGTTCTGGCTATCGAATGAAAGGCGGAGTAAGGCGATACTAAAGTCTGCCCTCTACTGGGACAAGCATGAATCCTTTTCCAAGAATTGGATGATGAACATGTCCAAAGTACTTAAGTTTTGGCCACTTCCCTTATGAGGAGCATTCTGGCTGTACATTTTCCAAGACAGATGTTCATTCTCTAGGCGGTCCATGGCATATTCAATACTCCTTGCCAACACCATCATTCACAGGCACCAATGCTCTGGTCTTCCTTCTTCACTATCTAACTTTCACAATACATATGAGGTGATTACAAATATCGTGGCTTGGGTAAGGTGCACTTTAGTCTTTGAAGCAGGGTTGGGGAACATCCAGCCCATGGGCCCTGTAAGGCCTGAGAAAATATAAAAAGCAGCTAACACCACATGCCTCACCAAAGATAAGCAGTTCCAGCCACGACCTTAAGAGTAAATTAAATGTTTGATCAAATAAAGTAGGAAATTTTTAACTTGATGATTTTGTGTGGTCCACAAATGATGTTATATTCAACTGCCCATGGCATAAAAAAGGTCTCCCCTCCCCATGCCTTACTATCTTTGCTATTCCACACTTTAATGAGATGTGTTTGCAGTAGACTTGCCCAATGTAATGGTACTTGGTTTTATTGACATGTTTGATTTTTAGAAAATTTAAGTTTCATCAGCACATAATTAATTCAGTATCATGTAGTTCAAAAGTTTAAACATATTAAAAAGAGTTGTACAATAAAAAAAAAAGTCTGATTACTGAGAGATAAATTACACCAACGACAGGTAACTTCACGCTGGTTACTATGTGGCAGGTACTAGTCAAAGCACTGCACAAATATCACGCCCTTGAATTCTCTATCATTCTCCTCAATTTGTAGATGTAGAAGTAGAGGCACAGAGGTTAAGGACTTATCTCAGGTTACACAGCTCGAAGGGGAAGAAATAGGATTCCACCCCACAGAACCTGTTTTCATCCCCAATAGATTCCTCCCAGGCATTTATCTCCTTAAAAACTGGGCTCCAAACATCTGACTTCTTACTGAGTTAAGGCTGCACAAGTTCAGCTCTTCTTAATTAAAAGGGTGTGTGTGTGTGTGTGTGTGTGTGTGTATA